CCCGGCCCTGCGCCCTCGCCCTCGCCCAGCTCCAATGGCGTCGACAGCGCCGCCCTCGCAGCGCCGCCGTCCGAGTTCAGATCGTCGGCAAAGACGGCAGAGTACTGCGTCACCACATGCAGCGCAGTCACTCGGTACGCGTTGATCATGTCCAGCACATAGTGCCCGGCCTCGGACGTCGGCACAGCCTCCAGCTGCTGACGCAGAAAAGCGTTGCGTGCTGCCAGAAACATGACCCGCAGCTGCCGCGGCGAGAACAGACCGACCCGGCGGAGGAGCGAGACCAAGGTAATGCAGGCAGGCACCTTGACGTCGCTCTCCAACTGGGCACGGATCTGGCCCACCATCAGCGCCGTCGCTCGGCCCACCTTGCCCACCAAGCTCGCCACCAGCGGAATGTGGCCGAGCTTCTTCCCGGCCTTGACAACAAACTCACGCAGCGCAAGCGCATCGTCGTACGCTTCGGCTCGCACCAGCGACTCCATCAGTGCAGGCGCCTCCAGCAGCTCCACAAGCTGTGGCGCTTGCGCCAAGACCAGCGCGTTGCGTCGCCGTTCGTCCAGCGCCGCCCGCCCAGCCTCAGCAAAGTGGTGTGCGGCGTCCACAGCCGCAGGCAGCCTCGCCACCACCCCGTCCAGCGCCTCAGACACCGCCTCAAACTCATGCCGGACCTCGCCCATTGTCGCCGCTGCATGCACGAACGCCGGGTACTCCTTCTGCGCTGTCTCCTCCAACGCCGCCGCCAACCGCGCCGCCGCCCCTTGCACCGCCGCGGGCTCGCTCCTCAGCCGTCCCAGCGAGTACCCACTCAGTGACCCAGCATACCGCACATGCTCTGGCCCCACCTCTCCTTCTATCCCGCCTGTCACCCGTGCCACAAGTTGCTCCGTCATCCCCCTCCCCCGCGCGCACAGCAAAGTCGCGTGTGCCTTGCCTCGTTGCCTCGCCTTGGGCGGCTTTTTGATCACCGCCGCGATCACCGCCTCGCACGACCTTTTTCTTTCGCCACCCGGTTTACCGTCTTCGATCACCAACTGATCACCGCCTCCTCTCCCTATCCGTCGTCATGCTGGAGGACACCGTGGCCCGCGTGGTCACCGCCAAACTCGGCAAGTATGTCAAGGCTATTGAGCCTGAGGCTCTCAAGGTGGCTATTACCTCGGGTGTGGTCGAGCTGGAGAACCTGGAGATCGAGCCGGCGGCCTTTGTCGACTACCCTCTCGCCGTCGTCTCCGGCTCGCTCGCCAAGGTCTCCGTCCGCATTCCGTGGAAGGTCTGGTCGACGCCTGTCTCTATGGAGGTCTCGGGCGTCCACCTTCGTCTCGGGCCCAAGCGTGTACCTGACGATCGCGAGCGTCTGGCCATCAAGCGTGCTCGCCTCGATGAGCTCGCCGCAGACGACGCTCTCCGCATCGAGGCCGCCCTCCGCTCCAAGGGCGCCGGTGCGCCCGTTCCCGAAACCGACAAGGCTTCTGATGGTATGCTTGATCGTCTCGCCACAAAGATGGCCGAGAATCTGCAGGTCACCCTCACAGACGTCAAGCTCAGCTACATCGAGGACGGTGAGCTCTCCATGGGGGTTACCCTCGACTCGCTCGCCTTTACCTCGACCGATGAAGCCTGGGTCCCCACCTTTGTCGAGAACTGCTCCTCCACCCTCATCCACAAGCTCGGCTCGCTTTCGGGCCTCTCCATCCACGCCGACGTCAGCTCGACTCCAGACGCGGCCAGCGTCCTCCGTCCGCTCGATGGCGAGCTCAAGGTTGCCATCGTCCGCGATCCGGCCTCATCGCCCGAGACGCCGCGCATCACCGCTACCCTCGGCCTCAACTCGGGCGTTGACCTCGCCCTCGACTCGGCCCAGTGGCAAGCTCTCGCGCGTGTCCTCGCCACCTGTTCCATGTACTCCAAAATTGCCCGCCACGCCTACCACTTGCAGGACAACGACCTCGCCGCAGACGCCGACCAGCTCGCGGAGCGCTATTCAGCGCTTCTCCTTGCCGGCCCCGACTCGGCCCCTGACGAGTGCGAGTACCTCGAGTCGGCCCTCCCGCTTGCTGTACTCCGCGCCGCCCGCCGCAAAGTAGCCCACGACGCCCTTGTCGCCTCGCTTGCTGCGGAAAAGGCCGCCGCAGAGCTCGCCGCCTCGCAATCGATCGTCTCGCGCCTCTTCTCATCGTGGTGGTCGTCGCCGTCGCCTGCGCCTGCAGACGATTCCGCTCACGCTCCGCCCCCTACCGTCCTCACCGACGACGAAATGGTCGATTTGCTGGGTCTCTCGTCGGCCGACGAGCTCTCCGCTCTCTCGTCCGCTGACGATCTCCCGCCGTCGTACGTCCTCCTCGATGCCTCGGTCAAGCTCTCCTCGCTCTCACTCGCCCTCACCGATGCTGGGGACAAGCTTCTTGATGCCACCGCCACCAGCCTGGGCCTCACAGCCTCGGTCTCAAACTCGGGTTTTGCCTTTGACGCAAGCCTGGGATCGTTCCGCGTCGCCGACACCACCGCCAATACCGACATTGTCTCGTTTGGCGACTCGGCCCATGCCCACGCCCTCACCTGCTCGCTCGCCAAGTCGCTCTCGGCCGATCCGCACCCGCTCCCGCAGTACAGTCTTCGCATCCGCTCGCTGCCTTGTACCGCCGGCATCTCTGCTTCCTCGCTCGGCCGGCTTGTTGCCGCATTCTCCGTCCCGCACAATGCGCTCCTCGACTCAATCTACGCTTCGTACGCCGCCCAGCTCAAGGAGTTCCAGCGCGTGACCCTAGCGGCTTGTGCTGGCCGCTCCGTCATCAATCTCGACATCGCTCTGCAGGCCCTTACTCTGGCCCTCGACTCGGAAGTTGCCCTCACCACAACCGGCCTCACCGTCGTCTCGTTTGCCGGCGACGCCAAGGATGCCGCCCTTGCTGGAAACCACCCCCAGCCGGCTGACGTCCGCACCGTTGTCACTGTCGACGCCACCGACGTCGCGCTCTCGGCCGGCGGCGCCAACGTCATCGCTCCCACCTCGCTCGCCCTCCGGGCCCTCGACCTCTCCTCGGACATCCTTGACGTCTCTTCCACCCTGCCTGAGCTTGTCTTTGCGCTTCCGCCCGCCCAGGCCGCAGCGCTCCTTGCCGTCGCCACCTCGTACTCGGCTGCGCTGGCCTCGGCCCCGTTGCCGCTCCCAATTGCCGCGTCAGAGTCTGGCGAGACCGACGCCGATGTCGATGCCGATGCCGAGACCAAGACCGAGGCTGAAGACTCGCTTGAGGACTCGGACCAGTTTTTCGACGCGGCCGATGACCTGGAACCGATCTCGTCTTCAGCTGTTGCTCCTGCTGCCGAGCCAGCTGCTGTCTCGGCCCGCCTCGCCCTTCACGTTCCGCGGCTGGAGCTGGTGCTCGAGCCTGTCGGCACCGACCGCCGCCTTCCGTTTGTCGTCGTCACTGGTGTCCATCTAGACTACGCCCACTCGGCCGATGCAATCCTCCTCAACTTTGCTGTCCCGTCGGTCACTGTCATCGACCCGTGCTCCGGCGTCGCTCTCCTCTCCACCCCGGATCATGCTGAGGCCTCGGCGCTCGTCGAGCTCAAGTACTCGGTCGCGCTGGCAGCGTCGCCAGTCACCCACTCGCTTCACGTCGCCGCCGCACATCTCCACGTTGTTCTCCTCCCGCCGCCGCTCCTCGCTCTCCACGGCTACGTCCGCTCGGCCCTCGCACCGCTGCCCAAGGCCGAGACCAGCCCGGACGTCCATGCTGCGCCAGACGCCGCGCTCGCCAGCGCGCGCTGGACTGGTGTTGTCGACGCCTCGGCCTCGGTCAACTGCATCACTCTCGACCTTCTTGGCGAGGACTCCACCGCCCCGCTGTTCTCGGCCGAGCTCACTAGCTCGTCCGCCGCTGTAGCTCGCGCCTCTTCCGGCGAGCTCACCGCCTCGCTCACCATGGGCAACATCTCGGCCTTGGACGCCACCCTTCCGCTCGACTCGCCCTACGCCGACTCGCTCATCACGCTCACCGATACCCACGCCGCACAAGTCAATCTCTCTTACGACCCGGCATCGGCCGCCACCCTTGTTGCCCGTCTCGACATTCCGTCGGTCCGTGTTGTCGTCCTTGCCTCGACACTCACAGTTGTGTCGAGTGTGCTCGGCAAGCTCGGCGCTCTCCGTCCGGCCGTGGAAAACACTGCGTCATCGCTCGCCACCACAACCATGGAGACGCTCGCCACCCAGACCTCGCCTTCCGCATCCTTTGCCTGCCACGCTTCGGTCGCCTCACCAGTCATCATCATCCCGGCCTCGCCCACCTCGCGCGAGGCCGTCACTCTTGAGCTCGGCACCCTGGCAGTCGCTCCCGCAAGCGGACCCACTGCCTACACTCTCTCGCTATCGCATGTCGTCGCTGCCGTCTACGCCGACGCCGACCAGCCGCCGCTCCTCCTCTGCCAGCCGTTTGACATGGCCGCTTCGCTCGACGTCGCCGGCCCCGCCCCGATTCTCGACGTCCGTGCCGGCGACGTCACCTCGCAGCTCGCGGTCTCGGACGTTGGCCGTGCTGTCGCTATCGTGCTGAGCAACCTGGCTGGCGCCGATCCGGTGGCTCCGGCTCGCCCAACGCTGAGCTCGCACGATGTCGTGCCCGCGACGAGCTCTGCTCCAGACGCGTCGTCTCCTCCGTTTCGTATCTCGCTTCTTGTCCCACGCGTTGCACTTACCCTCGATTCCGAGCCCGACGAAGAGCGCCCACGGCTTCCCATCCTCTCCATCGCTTTTGTCGATGCCTCGCTCTCCGGCGCAGGTAGTGAATGGAGTGGCGCACTCTCTACGCTTCTCGTCTCGGACCTCCTTGAGACCGCGGCCGACTCGCCTGCCGCTCCACTGGTCTCGTCGCACTCTGCGGGTGACTCGCTTGTTTCGTTTGCCTACACCCCTGATGGTCTCCTTGTTGACATCAGCGCCGTCGACTTTGCGCTCTCGCGCCTCTCTATCGCCCGCCTTCTCACCTACCTCGACGTTCTCACCGCGTCGTCGGCAGCGCCCGAGAGCCGTGCTCCGCTTCTGGACGCGAGTGCTGCTGTTCCTGCGCCACAGCCTGCCGACGCGGCATCGTCCGGCCTTGGCTCCATTCGCGTCAATCTCGCTTCGTTTGGTGTGAGTCTCGTAGCCTTTGACCCACCGTCGGGTGCGCCGCTGCCGGATCTATTTGAGCAAGCACCGCGCGCCTTTGTTCATCTTGCCCATCTTGGCTTTGCCTCGTCGACGTTCTCGCTCACCTCGACCAACCTCGCGCATCACTTCGAAGCTCATCTCGGCCCGCTCACTGTCACTGACACCTCGCCGTGGGCAGGCTGTCACACCGCCGTCTGCGCGCCGTCGTCCGCGACGTCATCCGCTACCTCGGTCGACGTTGTTGTCGGCATGGAGCCAAACGCTCCGCTCGACATCAGCGTTGCGGTTGCTCCGCTCGAAATCACCCTTCTCTATCGCTTTGCCATGGACATGGCGGCCTACTTTGGATCGTTTGGCACGCTGCTTCCCAAACCCGCCTCCAGCGGCAGTGCCGTGGCGTCGACGACTCTCGAGGCTGTCCCCGACGCGCCGACTCCCTACCGCCTCACGCTCGACGTGCCACGAGCTGTCATTGCCCTTCCACGCAACGCGCTCTCCCGCGACGCTATCGTTCTCAAGCTGGCAGGCGTGTCGGGCTCGAACGCCTTTGACCTTGACGCTGGTACCGACACACTCTCGATCAGCATCGGCCACGCTGGCATTGCCACCATTGCTCACGAGGCCGAGGCCAATCTGGTCCTCGACGTTGCCACGTCGCTCGCCTTTGAGCGTGCCCTTGTTCCTGGCACAGCTTCATGCCTCACCATCGGATTTGGGTCTGGCGTCGTTGCCACCCTCAGCCAGGATCAGTACACCCTCGTCAACGCCTACTCGGGCGAAGCCATGGATGAGACCAAGGCGTCAGCGTATCTGCAGCTCGACCGTGCACCGGCCTCGGTCGGCACTCGCCCGCCGCCTCCGGACAAGGATCCGAGCCTGCTTCCATCACTTGACGCCTGCACGCCAGGCGCCAGCGACGCTGATGTCTCTGCTGCCACCTTTGTCTTTGGCATGGACCTCCCTTCGGGCACCGTGGTCTTCAACGCGCTCTCTGGCGCAGGTCCCCTTGCCCACGCCGTCATCGACGGTCTTGCTCTCCGCACCACTTCGCGGCTCCGTGGCGACATGGACGTGTCGCTTACGGTCCAGGGCCTGTTCCTCCGCGACGTTCGTGAGCCATATCTTCGGACCTCGGTCCACGCCTCGCTCCTTGCGCCGGTTGTCCCTGCCGACGGCACCAATGGCGCGCCGCAGCTCACCATTGCCGGTGTCCACCATCCGCTGGGCGCGCCCATGCCGGGCCTCTCGTACACCGTCACTCTCGACCACTCGCAGACGCTTGTGGTTCCCGACGTCATGCGTGAGCTCTACGCCTTTGTGTGGCCCATCGACAACTCGCCGTCGCCGCCGCATTATCGCGACACCACTGCGGCCTGGTTCGACCGCCCGCTGGAGAAGCGCGCGACCCGCACCCTCACAACTGTTTTGATCTCCTCGCCGCAAATCGTCATGCCTGGCGATCACACCCGTCCTGACTCGCGTGCCCTTGTGCTGGACCAGTCGCTCTCGGTCGTCTACGATGGCTTGGGCGCAACAGCCACCACTCGGATCGAGTCCAAGAGCCTCGAGGTCTTTGCTGCCGACATTGACAACCTCGCGAGCTCGGCTGTCGCCATCCTGGCTCCCATTGACATCTCGGTCACCGTCTCGACAGCACCAGCGGTCCCGACTTCGGTTGTGGTCGCCACCGCCGCCTACGACGCCTTTGTCGCCTACTCGGACGTCAGCCTCATGGCTGCTGCCGCTGCCTCGCTCTCGGCCGGCCAGACGGCCCCGGCTGTCTCCACTGAGCTCGCCGCAGCATCAGAGGCCAAGCCTCCATCGCCAGGCATGGTCCTCACGCTGGCCTCCCAGTCGCTGCGAGTCACACTGGTCAACGACTCACAAGGCGAGAATGTGCCGCTCCTTCGCCTCGATGCGTCAATGGGCGGCTCAACGGCCGGCGAGAACCCGCGCATCAACGCTGCGGTGGCGCTCAACTTCTTTAACTGCGAGGTCTCAGCCTGGGAGCCGCTGGTCGAGAAGACCATGCTTCGAATTGGCCTGCGGCCTGCAGACGCCCAATCCCGCGACGGCCTCGCCTTGAAGCTCGCGGTTGTGTCGCCTCTAGCTGTCACCGTCACAGCTGCTGGCCTCGGCGTCGTGCGACTGGCGACCGAGCTTGCTGCGCTCGCCACCGATCGGTCTGACGATCCGAACCGGGCTGCAGCGTCGGCCGCAGAACCTACGGGAGCCGGCCCAAGTACGCCAACCGCCGAGGCGCTGACCAACAAGCGATCGCGCGGCTCACCATACATGGTGACCAACGCGACTGGACTTGCTCTCCGGCTCTCGGTCGACGGGTGCGTCACCGAGCTGGAGGCCAACACCGCTTCACCACTTCTTCTCCCGCTCCACACCTCCAAGGTGCGAAAGCTCGCGTCGTCCGCGGAAACGACCATGACTGCACAGCTCCTGACCGGGCCAGTCGCTCAGGCGCTCGTCGACGCCAACTACCTTCCACTGGTTGACGATCCCAACTGGGGTGGGGTTGACCAGGATCTTGCTGCGCTCTTTGCGCCGATCACGACTCTTCCGCTCACCTCGGTCGGCTCGCATGTTGTGGCGCTGCAGTGGAGCTCCAGCGGCGCGCCATCCGGCGCCTACCTCTACTACGAGGTCACGCTCCTGCCCGAGGGCAAGTTCCATCTCAAGTTTGCCTCGGGCATGGTTCTGCGCAACGACTCTGCGCTGGCGTGGGAAGTGGTGGCGGGCGCCAAGGCGACCAAGCTGTCGTTCTCGCTCTCGCGTAGCCTTGCGTCGGGCGAGTTCGTCGCCATCCCGCCGCTTATTCTCCTGCCTCATCACTCGGGCCTCTCGGCAGCCGTCAAGATCCGGCCTACCGGCGGCTACAAATGGCCCAAGGCCGGCTTCAAGTGGCGCAAGATCGAGCTTGTCGACGAGACCGGACTTGCGAGTCATGACCCGCTTCTTGCAGGCGTTGTCGAAGCCGAGGGCAAGTCGAACACCGACTCGCTCATTCCTCTCCGTGCCAATGTCTATGCCGAGCCTGTGGTCTCCGGCGCCGACGCTTTTCTGGCGTGTAAGGTCTACCCGGGCCACTGGTTCTCGATCTCGACGCCGATGGCGGTGACTAACGCGCTGCCGTGCGCCCTCGAATATGAGCTGGCGCCTGTGGCGGGCCAAATCCTTTCCCGCGCCGGCAAGCTTGGTCCGCTCAACTCGCTTGATGTGCATGAGGTCAATGTCCACGACGGCGCCTTCCGCATGCGGATCCGGGCCGGTGGCCACGATTGGTCAAATTGGACCGTCGTCCGCCTCCTCCCCGAGGACTTTGACGAGTGCGATACCGCTCAGATCGACGCGCTTGAGAGGATTGCCCGCACCCAGTTTTTCTCGCTCCCGCAGGTTGGCGCGCTCGGCATGGGCGACACTGCCCGGGTCTCGGTCGTGAGATTTGCCACCGACTACGATCCCGACACGCGGACCCACTCGGTTGTGTGCTATGCCGAGTACTGGTTCATCAACAAGACGCCGTGGGAGGCGCGGTTCGCCAAGTCGGGAGCGACCACGAGCAAGCACAAGGTTCTCCCCGCCCTGGCTAGCGGCGCGGCTTGTGATGCCGAACTGTGCACGCCTGTGCCCGGTGTCGGAGTGGCCGAAGCTAAGATCACGTTCTACTCCAAGTCGCCGTCGGCAACAACCATGGCCGGCAAGTTGCGGGCTCGGCGCCGGCTGCGGCGGCACAGGCGGCGCGGCCGAGTTGCGCAAGCCATCCGCCACGGCTCGGCGGGAGCAGCACCGCTGTACTTTTCCAGCTTTCCGCTTGTTGTCAGCATCGACAAGACCAACTACTCGCCGGCCGCTATTGATGTCTCGGGCAACATCGGCGAGAGCCTGCTAACTTGCGAGGAGCGGCGGCGACAGGCGTCGCGGTCGGCGCGGTACGACATGACGCTCTCGTCTCAGGTCGGTTCCGGCCTCCTCGCTCACACGCGGCTGGTGGTCATCCAGCCACGATACGTGCTGGTCAACGAGACCTCTGCGTCGCTCGAGTTTACACAGGCACCGGCGAGCAGCATACCGCTGGCCATTCTTCCGCCGCGGTCGCGGGCGCCAGTGGTGTGGCAGGACGCCACCATAGAGCGGCACGTCTTTATGCGCCGTGCTGATGGTACCGGCTGGCGATGGACGCGCCCATTTGGCCTTGCTTCGCTCATCGACTGCCCAGTCAAGCTCCTCAACTACGAGACGAACACCATGAACCTTGTGCGGCTGCACATGGTGGTGGAGGACAAGTCGGTGGTGGTCCGTCTCTCGCACCACGTGCCCATCGCGCCATACCGGATCCGCAATCAGACTCCATTTGCGCTAGAGGTGATGGAGAGCGGGGTGTCGCACGCTCTGCCTGTTGCGGCGCTGGGTGAGACCGGCCTGGTGCCCGAGGCGGGCTCGGGCGCGCCATTTGAGCTCTCGCTCAGCTGGATGCGACCAAATCAGAGCGATCTTGCCATCTCGTTCCCGTCGTCGATATTTGCTGCCGAAGGCCTTGCCGAGGTCCTTGTCTTGCACCCCAACAACATCTTGCGGGTCAACGTGTTTGCCGACGGGCCGGCCATGGTGCTGGAAGCGTCGTGGCGAGCGGGGGCGAGCATGGCCGAGGTGTCGGCGGCGGCGGCCGATGCGGCGGCTCGTGCGGCCGTGGTTACCGATGGTTGGGCTGTTGTCCCGCGCCCGCCGACGACGCCGTGGACGGTGGACCTCAACATTTTGGCCATCACGGTCTCAGTTATTGTGCCACACCACCCACGGCGATTTGGTGCACCTGGCGAGCTCTTCCTTGTCTCGCTTGACGACATCGAGGGTAAGCTCGAGGTGTTCAGTGACGGTGAGGCTGCTGTGTCTGCCAACATCTGGGGCGCGCAAATCGAGACTGTGGAGGCGTCGCCCAGCCACAAGCCCAAGTTCCCGGTCCTACTCTATCCGCGATGCAAGAAGGACAGGCGCAGCGGACGCGGCGGAGCGTCGTCGTCGACGGCATCGTCACAGCGTGGCGAGCTACCGGTCTTTTCGCTGGAGGGAACCGGATCTGCGTCGTCGCCGTCGGTTCGCTACATCTCGGCACTCATGGTTGCCGTTGCGCCTCTAGAGCTCCGGGCCGAGCTCTCGTCGCTCAATGCGCTCAGCGGACTTGGCAGAGCATGGCGACCGGAGGATGACGTCTTTGACGCAGCTGCCGAGTTGCAGGCACTGGCAGAGACGGTCGGCGTGGTTGGGCCCGAGAGCGACAAGGATGGGCCAGAAGGCGCGGGCAGTGGCGGCAAGCAGCTGTACTTTTCGTTCCTGCAACTGCCGTCGATCTCGTGCTCGCTCACGTTTGCGATGGATGCCGATGTGCAGAGCGGCGGCCAGGAATGGGCGCACAGCTGCTGGCGATGGTGGCCGCGGTGGAGCGCGCGCCGCTCTCACTGTCAGACCTTGTGGCGGAGCGGTTGTTTGTCAACCCGGCGACGCTGGCGGCGCTTGTCGGGGCGCACTACTCGGGTGAAGCGCGTGCGCAGGCACTGGCGCTTGTGGGCTCGTCGGAGGTGCTCGGCAACCCACTGGGTCTGGTGGCGGACCTCAAGACCGGAGTGTCAGACGCGTTCTACGAGCCGGTGGTGGCACTTCGGCAAGGGCCGGAGGCGTTTGCCTCTGGCCTGGTGTATGGCGGCGAGTCGTTGGTGCGCAATACAGTGCATGGGGTGTTCAACACCACGTCCAAGCTGGCGGCGTCGGTCTCTAAGGGCCTCACGGCGCTTTCGATGGATCGCGAGTACGCGGCAGAGCGACAGGCAGATCGCGAGCGGAACCAGCCAACCGGGGCGGTGTCAGGTGTGACGACTGGCCTGCGGCGATTCGGCAAGGGCTTGATCTCGGGCGTGACCGGCGTGGTGACACAGCCGGTCAAGGGTTCGCGCAAGTCTGGCGCACGCGGGTTCTTCAAGGGCGTGGGCAAGGGCGTTGCGGGGCTGGTGACCAAGCCTGTGGTTGGCGCGCTCGACCTTGTCGACTCGGCATCAGAGGGCATCCGCAACGCGGCGTCGATGGTGGCTGGTCCACCGGCGCCGCGGCGGCTGCCGCGAGTTGTCCCGCACCGACTCGGCGGCGTGCTCCAGCCGTACTCGCCCGACGAGGCCGAGGGCCAGCTGGCGGCGTGGAGAGCGCTGCCGCCGCAGGCGCGCGAGCGCATGGCTATCGGCGCCGAGGCGTTTGTGGCGAGCTTTTCCACCAACGAGGGTGCACTGGCGATCATTTCGACGTCAACGCTCTACATCCTGGATCCTGCGCCGCACACCCGCGAGATTGTGGATGCATACTACGCGCGAGCGACAAGCAAGCTCCATCCCAAGGCGGCCGGACGACTGGCGTACGATGCACCGCTCGACTCGCTGCTGCGGCTGGAGGTCGAGCGCGGCTTTCTGGTCATTCGCATCCACACTTCGGTCTCGGCCGACTCGCTCAACCTTTACTTTGCGTCGAGCCGCGAGCTCGAGGCGGCCGTGAATGCTCTGCGAGCCGCGTCGGGCTGGGCCGGCGAAGCAGGATGTACCAGGCGGCAGTTCCGGTTCCGACTTCCCAACGAGACACTGATCAAGGGCCGCGAGTCTGACTCGGACGTCATGCTTGTGTGTGATGGGTTCAAGCGCAAGGTCGCCGCGGGCTTGGCGGCGGTGCGAGGGTACACAACCGGCGCCGCGCTCACGCTGCCGGCCGACGTCGTGGAGGCCATTCCCACCGGCGAGCCGCTGACCAAGGCTCGCCCCGACGAGTATCCACCAGCCGGCACATTGGTGGCGGTCGGCGATGTGCTCTATGTCGTTGCACCCGGACAGAATCGGCTGATGGCGGTCAGCACGTCGATGGCTGTGGATGCCGAGGTTCGAGCCGGCGCTGTCGAGATGACCCCCCTCGAGCTCTCTGCCTTTGTGGTCCAGGTTTCAAGTTAAACACCGACACCTAGCGCTGGTGCTACTTCTCGCGGCTACGCCACTGCCTCGATCGACGGCGAACCCTCCCGACCGGTAACCCGGAGCGCAGTGTTGGTCTCGGCCGCGTTCTTGACTCGAGACGCTGCCTCGGACGCTGCCTCGGTGTCAGTATCACCGGAGCTAGCGGAGTTTTCCAAGTCCGCCGCGGCCGCCAACGTCTTTGCGCGCTTAGGCTGCGGCGCAAGCGGATGGCCGGCTGACTCTCGCTTGCGCGACGGACTCTCATTGGCAGCAGCAGCGGCTGCGATAGCGACCTCTTCGAGCTCCTCGGCCTGCTCTTCGGCCTCGGGGTCGGTTGCGGGAGAGGGAGCAAGCTCATCGTCATCGACCGGTGACGGCAGGCGGGAGTGCGGCGCAGGCGCGGCACGGTCGTAGGTGAGACACAGATCGTCTGGCGCGCACCAGTAGTGGTGGCGAATGGCACGAAGGTCGACTGCGGGCCCGACGCGTGTGCTGCGACAGTAGACGGCAACGGCGTCGCAGGGCCGGGATGGGTCATAGCCCTCTCGGTCAAGGCCAAGCTGGTTAAAGACGTGTGCGGCAACACGCTTGACGCGGTAGACTCGGGCAGCTTGCAGCGACTGCCCGGTAGTGGAGAGGGCGGCAAGGTCCGAGTTCGGGCGCGGCTCGAGGGTGAACAGGATCTTGGACGGCTCATTGGCCCAGAGCACGTTCTCCCACAGAGCGTTGTGAAGCCACGTCTCGATGTTGATCTCGCTCCACTTGGAGTGCATGGCACCGACAGTGAGAGAGAGCAGCTTGCGGCCCGACGGCTCCTCGGTGGCGACGACGCGAGTCGAGTCGGCGAGGTCAAAGAACCACGGAAGGAGGGACTCGCCGCGCTGCAGATCGAGGAGCGCATCCTCAGCCTGCTCCTCGGCATCGGCAGATGATGACGACACCGCCGAGCCGACGCACGAGTCCGAGTCGAGCTCGGCTGACGCTGCACCGGGGATAGGGGGTGAAGCACGATCTTGCGATGTTCGCGAGTCGTTGGACGAGTCTTCCCCGAGCGAGCGGGAGGCCGAGGCGGAGAGAGGCGCAGTGCCGTCGTCGTCCTCTTCCTCCTGCTCTTCTTCGCCTGCAGTGTCGGAGCGCTTCTTGCGGGCTTTGCCCTTTCTGCGGCCGGAGCGGCCAGCGTGGCGCGAGTTGCGATGGCGGCGTCTGCGTCGCGATGACTTTGAGACAGCCGAAGTCGAGGCCGAGGCTGAGGCGGCGGAGCCTGTGGCACGACCAGCAGTGCCTTCATCCGAGTACACGTCGTCGTCGGCGGGCGCAGGTGCGGTGTGTGCGGCGGCGCGGCGGGCGGCGCGGCGGGCCTTGGCGGAGTGTTCCTCGAGGAATTGGCGGATGGCGTGGCGGAAGATGGATTTGAGCACTACGTGGCCGATGTTGATGCGTGTCCCGGGTTCGGGCAGCTCGCGGCAGCAGGGGGTGAGGTTGAGGTCCTCGGCAAAGACTTCTGCGGCAAAGCACTGCGGCTGGGTGAGATGAACGGTGAGGCCGCCGGTCTTGGAGTCGAGGGTGAGCCACGAGGGGACGGCGACAGGGCCGATGTTGTCGTTCTGGGTCTTGAGCTCCTCGTCCCAGTCGTCTGCGTTAGGCAGGTCCGAAATCTTGACGCCGCGGGTCACGTCCCACACCTGCATGAGGCCCGAGTTGTCCTGGGTGAGCGCGTGGCGGCGGTCGGCAAGGATCTGGTGGCGAACGATGCCAGTGGTGCCCGGAAGGGTGGCGACGGGAGCAAGGGCTCGAGGCGCGGGGAGGGTGTTGGGTGGAAGGGCATTTCGCGGGGTGGCAACGACGCCAGAGGCCGAGGCTGCGGTGTGTGGCGGGACGTAGACCGACGACGACAGGTCCTGGGCCAGATCAGGCTCCGGAGTTGCAAAGGCGACTGGCGACGATGTGGTGGTTCCAACCCAGACCAGGCCTGGCGAAGCAGCCTTTTGGGCACCGGGTGTGTGAGTCGGCGCAAGGGCGAGGACCTGATGGTCGAGCTGGGCGAGGCGGACCGAGAGAACCGAATCTGGCCCGGAGCGGAGAGTCGAGTACGCGATGGAGCCGTCGCGCGAGGCCGAGTAAAAGTGAGTGAGCGAGTCTGAGGCCCGGAGCGACCAGACCGAGTCGCCGTGGATGCGGTACGAGGCGAGACACTTGCGGGTCCCGACATCCCACAGCTTGACCAGCCCGTCGGAGCCGCCGGAGAGAATGAGCGAGCCGGAGGCGTCGACGGCGAGCGTCTTGACAATGTCAGTGTGACCCTTGAGCTTGCCGATCTTGCGGTGGCTCCGGGCGTCCCAGAGGCGAACAAGCTTCTCAGAAGATCCTGAGGCGAGGATCGGAGCGCTAGTGGCGGCAGCAAGCGCGTAGACCGAGTCCTTGTGACCTGTCAGCTCGACAGAGGCGGCGACGTTGGCCACGTCCCACAGACAGATCTTGTTGTCGAGACCAGCCGAGGCCATGAGACCTCGAGTAGGCAGGTACGCCAGGGCCTTGACGTAGTCGGCATGTCTGTTCATGACGTACACCTCGTCGCCGGTGGATGTGTCCCAGCACACGACTGAGGTGTCGGACGACGCCGACATCAGCATACGATTGTCGTCACCAAACAGGACCAGGTCGTTGACCCAATCAATGTGGCCAGCGAGAACGCGAGAGGCCACCGGCGCAGACGGCTCCCTCCGTTCGCGGCCCTGGGACCTTGTCGCGCCCATCTCCCACGAGATGATGGTCGAGTCGCGGCCTGCGGTATAGAGGCGATTCTGTGGAGGTAGGGAGAGGATGAGTGTGAGTGTGGCGGGGATAGAGGGGGAATGCATTATGCCTTGAGGCAACACAACATACGTTGATGCGATCGACTGCAAGAGCGTTGACGCCAAAGCGGTGCGAAGGAGGACGAGCTGCATCCTCGATGGTATACGAGATGCGGATGCGGCGCTGTATAGGGGAGAAAGGAAATAGCACCGATCCAGCCCACAGGCACCGAGCCAGTGAGCCAGCCAGACACCGATCCAGTCCACAGGCACCGATCCAGTCCACAGGCACCGATCCAGGCCAGAGGCACCGAGCCAGTCCACAGGCACCGATCCAGTCCATCAGCCACCGAGCCAGTCCACAGGCACCGATCCAGTCCACAGGCACCGATCCAGTCCACAGGCACCGATCCAGTCCATCAGCCACCAAGCCAGTGAGCCAGCCAGACACCGAGCCAGTCCATCAGCCACCGAGCCAGTGAGCCAGCCAGACACAGGCGCATCCACCAGCCACCGACCCCCCCACATAAACCCATAGCGACGAGTGAGTACATGCCCTTCCCTTCCCCTTCCCCTTCCCTGTTCCCTTTCCCCCTTTGCCCTGCGTACCTGTGGTCGCTCCCTGTGCGGCCCCGACGAGCCGACGTAGGCATGGGGAAAGACAGCCATGGCAGTGGCAGCAGCAGCAGCAGTAGCAGTGGTGGGGTGGTGGTGGTGGTGGGTGGTGGTGGTGGTGGTGGTGGGTGGTGTAGAGGGTGGCGTGGAGTGTGGTATTGAGTCTGGCGTAGCCCCTTCCCCCCTCCCCCTTCCCCCCTTCCCCCCCTCCCCCCCTATCCGGCGACCGACCTCAGTGCGACACAGCCCCCCCGACCACCCCGACCGCCCCGACCACCCCGACCACCCCGACCACCCCGACCACCCCGACCACCCCCACTCCACACCCCACCCACCACCACCCACCCCACCCTTCCTCCCCCCCTCCCCCCCTCCCCCCCTCCTATGTCCACCACCACCACCACCACCTCCCTCTACGCCTCGGCCACACACGCCGTGGCGGCTGCCCTCGCCTCGTCACCCTCGCTCCCTGCTTTGACTCTGACAGTGACCGAGGCTGCGGCTGATGCCCATGCTGTGGCTGCTGCTTTTCGATTGCGGGCGGCTGAAGTGCTGGCAGAGGTCGGAATGTCGCCTGCTGGCTCGCAGCCTGGTTCCGGTGATGATGCCGCTGGCGTTGCTCCGCTGCTGGTGCTGCTGGACGATGCCGCGGGCCTGGCTACTGCAGAGACGCCGCTGATGGACGGCGCTGGACTGTTTACTCTCATCGACGACGTGCTCGCTGGTCTTGTTGTGCCGCACGCCGAGCGGGTCTTTGCTTGGCTGGAGGACGCGCTGCCGCAGGTCGGCCGCCTGTTGGACGGGCCGAAGGGCGATCGGGCGGCAAAGTCGGCCGGCCTCGCTCTTCTTCGCGCCTGCAACGACATGCTCCGCAGGCTTTCGCGGGCTCAGGACAACGCGTTCCGCGGACGCATCCTCGTGTTCCTCGCCATGGCCTTTCCGCTCTCGGAGCGCTCGGGCGTCAACCTCACTTCTCGGGTCAACGTCGACAACACCACCGCGCTCGATGAAGCCCCGCCTGCCGACGACAAAGCCGCCGCTGCCTGGAAGGTCCAGATCGAAGCTGGCGGCAAGCGCGGACCAAACGACCCGCCTGTCGACTTTGGCTTCTACCGCGCGTTTTGGTCGCTGCAGGAGGCGTTCAAGAACCCGGCGGCGGTGATGGCCGGCGACGACGACGACGCCCCATCCGCCTGGCCGACCTTCCTCGACACCGCCCGGCTCGTCCTCAAGGCCTTTGCCACTCAGCCTTTTCACGAGAGCGACGACGCCGTCTACCGCCGCGCAGCCGCAGACGCGCCGGTCGGCATGGAGCTCGAGACCGAGGCCGGAAGCAACAACACCGATAGCATCTCGGCCCACTTTTGCAAGTTCCTCACTTCATCGCGGCTCATCACGCTCGAGCTCTCGGACCCGTTCTTCCGCCGGCACATCCTGATGCAGTACCTTATCTTTATCCAGAGCCTGCGCGTGGCTGCCACAAAGACGAAGCAGGTCGTGCTCTCGTCCGCACAGAACGCCGCCCTCGACGAGCTCCACGCCGAGGCCATGGCCCAGATCCGCGCCACTCCGCCCGACGGCAAGGTGTTTGCCGCCGTCGTCACCAAGCTCATGGAGCGCGAGCTCGCCTGGCTGTCATGGAAGTTCGACTCGTGTAAGCCGTACGAGCGCCCCGCAACCAGCGACGTCAAGCTCGCCGCCGTCCCGCTCTCGCGCAAGCGCAAGCTCGCCGATGAGACGGCGGCGGCGGCCGCTGCTGCGCCGTCCAAGAAGCGCAAGCCGGTCTCGCGCTTTGCCCCGCCGCCGCCGGACCCCGTCGCCCAAGTCGCCGATCTGCTCGAGGCTCAGGACAACTGGACGCCGCTGGAGGACGCCGAGCGCCCGCCGTCTATGGAGGTCATCATGCGACCCATTGTCGACGATGCCGACCCGGAAAACGCCATCGAAGACGAGTACAAGCGCAAGAATGACCCCAAGTACATGTGGAAGGCCCTGCGTGTTGCTTCGCAAGCCTCGTTTGAGGTCTACTCGGCCCTCGGCTCGGACGTCGACGATGCCGCCGCTCGCTGGCAGAACCCGCACCTCTCCTTTGATGATGACGCTCCGCTCTGGCCTGGTGTCACCGAGACGGCCGAGGCCAAGCCAAAAGCAGCAGAGCAGAAGGCCGAGCAAAAGGCTGAATCCGACCCCGAGGCCGAACCAGCAGACATGGACGTGGCAGCCCCCGACGCCGACGTGGTCCCTGACGCTGACGCTGACGCTGATGCCGACGCGGATGCTGCGCTCGAGCCTATGGACGAAATCCCCGAGGGTCTGACCGAGGCCGACGCTGAGCTCGACGTCGAGCTGGATGTCGAGCTCGACGCCGACGACATGGCTGCTGCAGAAGCAGAGTTCCTGGCTGCCACCGAAGAGCTGGAGGAGGGTGAGGTTGTCAGCGACGACGACGACGACGAGTAACACGCTATTGTCTGCTCTTCTTCTTCTTGGCAGCCTTGATGATGGTCTTGGCCTTGGCCAGCTGGGTCGACATCTCACGGATCCGCTTTTTGGCCTTTTCCAGCTGTGAGGAGAGCTTGACCACCTGGGCGTGCTTGCGGTCAAGCTGCGCCGTGGTTGTCTGCCGCAGCTCGATGAGCGCGCGCTCGCGCTCAGAGAGCGAGGCCTGGAACGCCTTGCGCTGGGCCATGGCGCGGGCACGGAGATCTTCGATGGTTGCGCCGTGCTGCGATTTGGTCGTCAGCACCTCGCTTCCCTGGCCATCGTCAGTGAGGATCGATCGCAGCTTGAGCTTGAGCGCGTTGCGCTCAGAGGTAATCTCGTCCATCGCCGCCTGCGCCGTCTTGGCCTCGCGCTGCGCCTGAATAGCAGCCTCCTGGCTCAGCACCAGTTCGACTTGCAGCATCTCATTCTCCGCCGCCGCCGCCCGCAGCCTTGACATCACATCGTCGCTCCCATCGCTTGCACTTGCAGCCGCTCCGCTTTCTGCCGCCATCTCCGATGCTCCGCCTGCGACGCTCGCTTCGCCAGCCGCAGCCGCCGACCTGATCTTTGCCGCTGCTGCCGCCACCAGTGCGCCCAGATGATTGTCCACGACATCAGACTCGGGCGCCTCTGTCTCGCCGCCGCCAGCCGCACCAAGCCGCTCAACGCCCAATGCATCGGCGAGCTTTGCCGCCAGAGCGGCGAGCGAGTGGGTCCGGGCAGAGGTAGCCGCATCTGCGGCAGCCAGCTGGGCCTCCAGGGAGCGCAACGTATGAACCATCTTGGCCTCAGCCTCGTGTCCTGCCTTCTCTGCCGCTTTCCGAGCCTCCATAGCGTCCATCGATGAGCCCTCGGCCCTGACCTCGGCCGCCGCCCTTGCCGCCGCCGCCGCCGCTGCCTCGCTCTCCAGCTCCCGAACCCGGGCTTGGGCCGCCATCAGCCGCCGTGTCAGCGCGTTCACCACCCGGGGTTCCGAAGCACTCGTCATGGGTCGCATGACCAGGGGTGTGGTGGGTGGGTGGTGGGTGTGGTGGGTGGGAGGGGGGGGAAGAGGGCGGTGAAGTGGTGGCAGTTGGCGCGGTCGGCAGCAGCGAGGCATTCGGGTCGGCGGACAGGCGGAGGGATCGGCGGGATGGTGTGGACGAGGGGGGATCGGGAGGTGTTACTCTGAAGCGAGATATCTAGATGTCGTCAATGTCAAAGTCATCGTCGTCGTCGTTGGCAGCGACAGGGGCAGCAGCAGCGCCCCGGGCAAAGCGCTCGGTGACCTGCGAGGCGCCGGCGTCCTCACCGTCGTCCTCGTCGTCGTCCTCGTACGAGTACTCGTCATCGGCCTCGGCCAGCCAGTCGAGGAACTGGGCGCCTGCGGTCTTGACCTCGACCGAGATCTTGTTGAGCACAAACTTGGAGCTCTTCTTGCCGGCCCACTTGAGCATGACCTCCTCATCAACGAGGTCGAGCTCGTACAGGTGCTTGAGGATGTGGGCGACGTACTTGAGGAGCGCATCGCGGTGGGTCTCGCCGCACACGCGCTCGACCCAGCCGAGGACAACCTTTTGCTCCGAGGTGCCGTTGATAAACTTGCTCATGATCTCGGCGTAATGCGGGAGCTGGGTGAAGAGGTCGTCGCCCCAGACAACAGCGCAGAACGCGCCCACAATCTCGGCGTTCTTGTGGGCGTACGTTGACTTGAGGTCGTCGAGGAAGGCTTCGATCTCGCCAAGGTCGCGGTCGGACTCGGCGTACCAGGCCTCAAAGGCGGCGACCGAGTCGGCAATGTCGCGCTCGATGGTGACGGCGCCGATGTCGGCGAGCAGCTTGTTGGCGCCGATGGTCGCCTTCTGCCGGTCGAGGACCGCGGCCTCCGAGGTGTCGGTGAACCACTCGACGTTGGCGTCATCGTCAGCAACCTCGGTCTTGGTCACGTCGATGATGTCGCCAGCAAACGGGTCCGCATCGTCAGCGGCGGCGGCAGCAGCAGCAGCCTGCTTGCTCGCGCCCTTCTTTGACTTGGGCGGCGGGTTGTTGACAATGTACTTGGAGAGCTTGTGGGTCCCACCAATGGAAGCCTGGTTACCGCACGCCGAGCACGTAGCCATCACCACATTGCGCTTGACCGAGAGGTCGATCTCGGGCAGGCCACAGTTGGGGCAGAGGACAAACGTCTGGACAAAGGCATCAAGGGTCGACTGCAGATCAGCAGCAGTAAAGGCACCATTGACAATGGCAGCTTGAGTCTTCTCCGTCCACCGCGCCTGTGCACCCAGCTCAAAGCCGAACCACTTTGTGGGATATGCCGGAGGCACCTTGAGGCACTTTGCGATCTCTGCCATGTTCACAATGCGCGTCTTGATCCCATTACCACGCCCTTCCACCTTGGCAATGAGCTTGGGCATCTTGTACCGGTACGACGCGTCCTTGGACGAACCGCCAATGTTGATTGAAGACTACAGTACCCTCCCCTCTTCTCATGAGTCTCTCTCTCTGTTGGTGGTGGTGGTGGTGGTGGTGGTGGTGGGAGGGGCGGGGGGGGGGGGGGGGGGGGAGGGGGGCAAGGAACACGTCGCCTCTGTCGGCAGATTTTGCCTGCTATGGCCAGCCAACTCATACTGGGCATGGTGCGGGGCTGATATGGGGGTATTTGGAGATAAGGAGGAAGTATGGAGCAGAGATGATGGAGGGAATCATGGGCATACGTACCATGTTTGTTAGTGTTACGTAATCACGTCGTGAAGCCCATGAAGGTGCGATAAGTGGCCGTCTCTCCCGTCGCTTAGCCCGTACCAGTGCCGCCCACTCGATAATGGCAACCATGGTTAATTGAACAGGGCCATCGATTAATTCTTGGTCGAGTGATGCATCAACTCGGTAGTGGCTCGTCGAAGGCTCTCTTCCCGAGTGATCGCAGCCCTCCGTCATCCACCTCGTGTACATGACATACCCAAGTACCAGTTGACCCAGGCATGGTGGTCATCGGGCCATGTATGCCTCTAGGTGATGCATCAACTCGGTAATGGCTCGTCCAAGGCGCGTGATCGCAGCCCTCCGTCATCCACCTACCCCTTTGCTAGCATCCATCACTCTGCAACTCGTGTACATGACATACGCAAGTACCAGTTGATCCAGACATGGTGGTCATGTGGCTATGCTTGCCTCTTTCTCATGCCCTCCCTCCCGCCTCCCTGTTCTCCCCCTCGCGCCAAAGTCAGTGCGACTCGCAGCCACCCGCTCCCACCACCCCACCCACCCCACACCCCACCCACTCCCATCTGAAGCATGTTCGTTCCAGGCACAAGGGCTCGCAAGCGTGGCAAGGCAAAGGCCAAGCCCACACGCGACTGGGACGCAGAGCTTGCGGCACTGGACGACGAGGAGGGCGGCGCGATGACGACGACAACGACGACGACGACGACGACGACTACGACTACGACAGCGATGAAAACAGCGATGGCGCCAGCGGCTGAGACTGCAGCGGTAGCAGAGGTCGACGATGTGACGGCGTACGGGGTAGAGGCATCGGTGGCGTTTGCAGTCAAGGCGGCCAAGGAAGGAAAGCCCGTGCCGGGACTGCCGAGCGGGAGCGGGACGACGCGGTACCACAGCAACGAGGAGAATCCGCGAGTCTGGCTGGAGCTGGTAGTGGAGGAGGCTGAGCGGGGGACGCGTAGGCCAAGCTCCCGGACAGTCCGTCTCGAGTTTGAGGTCTATGCCGATCTGGTGCCCAAGACGGCGGAGAACTTTGTGAAGCTGGCCACCGGCGAGATGCGGCGGTCGCGGCTGTCCGACGTCTGGCTCCACTACCAGGGTACCCGCGTTGATGCAGCTGTACCTGGACGGTGGATCCAGGGCGGGAACATCCACCGCAAGTTTGTTCCGGGCGCGAGCAATCCCGTTGCGCAGGCCGCCACTGTGGCGCCGTGCGGCGAGTCGATCTACGGCCCAACCTTTGACGACGAGTCATTTGTCCTCAAGCACTCGGTAGCCGGCCTGCTTTCCATGGTCAACGCTAACTCGTGGCGTTCTGGCGACTCGGCCGATCTCAGCTCGCGCATGTTCCGCAGGAACGCCAACGGCTCGGCGTTCATGGTGACGCTCGCCCCTGCGCCTGCCCTCGACAAGCGTCAAGTTGTCTTTGGCCGCCTCTCCGATGGCCGTCGCGGCCTCGAATACGTGGCCTCGCTCGGCTCGGCCGATGGCTCGCTCCGCCCCGGCGTCTCCATCATCATCGCAAGCTCGGGCGTCGTCGGCGGCGCCGTCAAGATCTCGGCCTCGGAAATGCTGGCCTTCTCGGACGGCTCGTTTGCCCGCAAACCCAAGCGCCACCGCTCACGCTCTCGCGAACGCGACAACAACGCTTCTTCCGCCGGTTCGTCACGCAGCCACGGCCGCCGCAGCGGAAGCAACGGGCGCGACCGCCGTCCCGACAATCGCTTCGCTGTGAACCGCAGTGGCGGCTTTGATCGCTCACGCGGCTCGCGGAGCTCGCGCAGCTCTCGAAACTAGCTCACCTTGACGTCCTTCTCTCTCCCCCTCCTGCAAACTCCCGCTTGTTATGCCAGCTGAGTCATCACCTTTCGCAGCCACTCTTCTTGCCTTGTCCGCCATCGCCCATCCCACCCCATCCGACCCCAGCCGCCAGCCGCCAGCCGCCAGCCGCCAGCCGCCACACTACCCAGCCCAGGCCCAAGCCAACCCCCAAACCACACACTGCTCTTTGCTTCCGGCGACCATGTGTACGCCCCCCTTCCCCCCTCCCCCCTCCCCCCTTTCCCCCCTTCCCCCCTTCCCCCCCCTTCCCCCCCCCCTTTCCTTCCCCCTGCTCAGCTTCCCCACCCTCTCCTCCCATGTCGCCTTGATGGCGCGACCTCCCCTCCTCCCGCCTCCCATGCACCCCCACATACACTCACCCACCCACACCACACATACGCACAGCTGCCAAGTTCTCGTTTGGGAAGAGCACCGGCAAGACTGGTGGCGGGTTCAAGGCCGGTGGTGGTGGGTTCAAGCTCGGTGGAGGTGGCGGCGGCGCTGGTGGTGGCGGTGGCGGCCTCAAGAGCTTTGGCGCAGCGCCCAAGGCCAATGAGCCGTCGGTGAAAAAGGCGTCAGAGACAGGAGGCAAGGGCTTTGCTTTCCCGGGCGGTGCAAAGGCTGGTGGCGGCGGCGGTGCAAAGGCTGGTGGCTTCTCGCTCGGAAAGTCCGGCGGCGCGGCAGCTGGAGGCGGAGCCAAGGCGGGTGGCTTCTCGCTCGGCAAGAAGACGGGTGGCGCGGCGGCGAGCGGCGGAGCCAAGACAGGCGGCTTCTCGCTCGGCAAGAAGACGGATGGCGCAGCGGCGAGCGGCGGAGCCAAGGCAGGCGGCTTCTCGCTCGGCAAGAAGACGGATGGCGCAGCGGCGAGCGGCGGAGCCAAGGCAGGCGGCTTCTCGCTCGGCAAGAAGACGGATGGCGCGGCGGCGAGCGGCGGAGCGAAGGCAGGCGGCTTTTCGCTCGGCAAGAAGACGGATGGCGCGGCGGCGAGCGGCGGAGCGAAGGCAGGCGGCTTCTCGCTCGGCAAGAAGACGGATGGCGCGGCGGCGAGCGGCGGAGCCAAGACCGGTGGCTTCTCACTCGGCAAAAAGACAGACGGTGCTGCGGCGAGTAGCAGCAGCGGGGCCAAGACCGGGTTTGCGCTGGGCGGCAAGGCCGGCGGCATCAGTACATCAGCCACGTCTGCACAGAAGGACCCAACGGTGTCGCCCGAGCTCCGCGACAAGTCGCTGGAGGAGATCATCAATCTGTGGCGGGCCGAGCTGCGCGAGTGTGTGGAGACGTTTACCAACCAGGCGATCCAGATCTCCGAGTGGGATCGTGTGGTGGTGGACAACGGCGAGAAGATCTCCAACCTGCACAACGATGTCCAGCGAGTCAAGATTGCCCAGGACTCGCTCAACTCGAACCTGGAGTTTATTCTCACGCAGCAGAGCGATCTCAGGCACAACCTCACCCAGCTCGAGGCCGAGATCGCCAAGCACGAGAGCGGTGGCGAGTTCCGACAGCCGGCCGATCATGAGCGTGAGCAGGCGTACACTCTGGCGGAGAACCTCAATGTCCAGCTCTTGCACATGGGCAGGTCGCTCACAGAAATGATCTCCAAGCTCAACTCCTCGCACGCCGAGCGTGTCAAGGACGACAACCCGATCAACCAGATTGTTCAGATCCTCAACGCACACCTCAACTCGCTGCAGTGGATCGACGACTCGTCGGCCTCACTGCACTACCGCATCGAGGACGTCTCGCGCGAGCTCCAGCGCCAGAACTCAACGTCGTCGTCGCACTACGCCGGCGCCTCCTCCATGTTTGCCACCAGCGGCAGCGCCCGATACTACTGATCGCAGCCCGAGCCCAACCGCAGTAATCGACCACAGTCACCGACGACCACAGCAGCCGATCCCCGCATCCCCGCGTAGCCACCAATGGACACCAGTCGCTGTTTGGCGTGCAGCATGTTGCGTCGAGTACGTGTCCGCCCGCCCCTCCCCCCTCCCACTTTACACACACTTCTCTTGCACATAGTGCCACTGGTCATGGTGTCCGTGCCGAGACTTTCTGCAGCAACAACCACGGTGGTGGTGGTGGTGGTGATGGCGGTGGTGGTGGCGGTCGCGGCAGGTGCGGCCGAAGGTGCGAGTGACGGCGACGGATCCGGCGACGGCTTTGTGTTTTGGCAGGTCACCGATCTGCACTACGAGCCGCTCTACTGCGTCGGGTGCGAGACAAAGCACTTTTGCCGACCCAAGGCTTCGGTGGGCGACGAGTTCCAAGAGGTTGCGGTCGGTGGTGGTGGCGATAGACACGGGGTGGGCAAGAAGGACCACATCGCCGAGTTCTGGGGCTCGTACGACTGTGACATCCCCAAGGTCATGGTCGAGTCGGCTGTAGACTTTGTGGCGGTGGAGAGCCGTGCGCTGATGGCAGGCAACGGCGGCGTGCCCATTCCGGTGCTCTGGACCGGCGACTCGGGTCCGCACAAGCTGACCCAGGACGACGCCTCGTCTTCGCTGGCGGCGCTGCTGACGACCTCGCGGACGCTGCAGGACGTGCTGCCGACTGGCACGCCGGTCTTTCCCACCCTCGGAAACCTGGACGTCTTTCCGAACGGCCAGCTGCCCGACGTCGAGTCGACCGAGCTGCTTGCTGTGGTGGCTGATGCGTGGGCGCCGTGGCTGACGCTCGACGCGCTGGCGCAGTTCCGGTCGACCGGCTACTACGCGCAGGGCCTGCCCGGAACGAACCTCACGGTCCTGTCGCTCAACACAGTGCTGTGGTACAAGGAGAACCAGCTTTCGCGGCCGAACCTCGACGACGATCCGCTCAACCAGTTTGATTGGCTCAAGGCGCGGCTGGCAGCGGCGGTGGCGGTCGGGGCCAAGGTCATTCTCATGGGCCACATCCCACCGCAGAACTTCCACGATCAGTACAACGCCGAGTACGTTAAGATCCTGCGCAAGTACTCGGACGCTATCTACGCCCTTGTCTTTGCCCACTGGCACGAAAACATGATCTCGTTGCTGTGGGACGAGAGCGCGTATGGCGGCGACGGCGCTCCCATCACCGGCGCTCCCATCGCGGCCCAGTTCTCGGGCTCATCAGTGACGTCGCGCAAGCACCGCAACCCGGCGGTCCGCCTCTACTCGGCCTCGCTCGCCGGTGGCATCCTCGACTACACGGTGTACCGGACGGTGCTCGAGGCCGACAATGCGGCCAACAAGACGTCGTGGGCACCATACTTTAGCGCGTGCGAGGCGTACCCCGTCGACGACCTCTCGGTGGCCTCGGTCTACAAGCTCTACCTCAAGCTGTATGCGTCAAAGGCGCCGACTCCGGGGGCGCCGTCGCTGTGGCAGACCTTTGTGGGCGAGCACCTCATCGCCAACGCGTACACTTGCGACGCATCATGCGGCGACGAGCTCCTCGCCAAGATGGAGTGCATTGACATGACGACGACGACCGACTGCGGGAACATTCCCGACGCCGGGTGCTCGTAGGGCAGGATCACCCGTTGCGGACCGCGATGCGGATCGGGACACCGTAAAGGCCAAACTGAGCTCGCATCTCGTTGGTGAGGAACTTGATCCACCCGGCCCAGTGGGTTGACGATCCGCGCTTTGCGGCGAAGAGCACAAACTTGGGCGGCCGTGAGTCGACCTGGGTGATGTAACGGACCTTGCCCGGTGCCGAGCGGTGGCCGACAATGCCAGCGAGCCACTCGTTGAGCGCGCCGGTCGGAAGCCGCATGTTCCACCCGTCGTAGACCGAGAGGATTTCCGGGACGAGGAGCGTCTGCGGCGAGAGCGCGGCCATGGACGAGAGGTCATCAAACGAGGTAGCGACCGGAGCAAGCTCGCCCGGTGCTGGGGCCGACGCCATCGACGCCGCCGCCGAGATCCCAACCCAGGGCGCGTCGCGAAGCTGGTACGGCGCCACAAAGGCGAGCTTCGACTCGAGGTGCTTGACAATGGCCGGGAGCTGCGAGTGCGGGTTGTCGACTGAGCGCGGCAGGCCGTGGGCGCCGAGCAAGTCCCACTTGTTGACGGCAACCACGAGGCCGCGCCCCTCGTCGGCCACCCGCTTGGCGATGGACGCGTCCATCGGCGAGAAGACCGTTTGCTCGGTGTCAAACTCGAACTTATACGCCAGGTCGTCGTCGCTCTCGACATCATCGCTGCTGCGGGCTACAGCCCCAGCCTTGCGCGAGCGCTTCCGCGAGGCGCGACTCGGGTCGTGCGGGTTGTGGAAGCCGTCGCCACGGACCGACGGCTTGATGTCGGCGACGAGGACGACGACGTTTGCGCGGCGGATGGCCGAGAGCGCATCGCGGTAGGCGAGCGAAGCCAGCCGCTTGGGCGTCGTCGATTTTGCACTCGCCGACGGCCGCATCATCCCGGCAGTGTCGACGAGGGTGACCGAGACCTCTGAGACCGGCGGCGTGCCCAGGGCCTCGAGATGCGCGTGAGACTCGGGAACTCGCCACACGGTGTGGACCGAGTTGGCGTCCTGCGTCACGCCGGGCATGTCGCCGACCACAAACCGGTCGGTGCCGAGCAGGTTGTTGGCGAGCGTCGACTTGCCGACATTTGGCCTGCCGACAACCGCCACTCGCAGGCCCGAGCGCTCATGGCGCTCGCGGCGGCGCATCTCCTTGACCGAGATCGGCTGGGTGTGATGCTCGGCGTCGGCTAGGTCTGCCGGCGGCGCGTCGCTTTCTGCTGCTGCCGGTGCCGGCGGCTCTGGCGGCGGCGGAGCGAGCTGCTCGTGGATGGGCGCCAACGCGTTGTACAGCGCCGCGAGGCCGTCACCGTGCTCGGCCGAGAGGTAGATGGGCTCGCCAAAGCCGAGGCGGCGGGCGGCGGCGGTGGACCAGCCGTTGTCGAGCTCGTCCGAGAACATCAGCTCGTCGGCGACCGAGCCCTCGCACTTGTTGGCGATGAGGAGGAGATGCGGCGGTGAGGGGACGTCAGCGAGGGTCTTGCGGAGCCAGCGGGCGTAGTACTCGTCCCATGGCGAAATGCCGTGGCGAACATCAACTACAAAGGCAACAACCGATGCGGCGCGGACGGCGGCGGTGGTCTGCTCCAGCATGGCCGAGAGCACGCCTTTGTCGGCCATGACCTGCTCCATCGCCAGAGCCTCCGCCGCCGCGCCACGAACCCCGCGCACTGCCGCCTTTTTCACCGGCTCGTCTAGACCAGCGGTATCAACAACGGTAAAGTCCATGCCGCCGAGCGATGCGGCGCCCTCGCGGCGATCGCGGGTGACGCCCGGGAGCGAGTCGACCAGAGCCAGCGATCTGCCGATGAGTCTGTTGAACAAGGTCGACTTGCCGACGTTTGGCCTGCCGACCACAGCCACGACCATACCGCCCCAGTTCATTTCACCATCAGCCGAGAGAGCGAGAGAGCCACTTGCCGGCGGCAACTCACCCCGAGATCGACGAGCTCTCCGCTGCGGAGCGCCGCCACGAGCCTCTACCGCCCGCTGACCAGCATGGACGGCCTTCCGCGCCGACCGCTTGTTCTTCTTTGACCGCATTCGTGCAGGAACCATGACCCATGGGCCAACCACCGTCCTCACCATGGGTGCCCATGACCGAAGCATATTTGACGAAGAGAGGCTGTGGGTGGAGGAGGAGGAGGAGTGGTGGGAGGAGGGGGGAGAGGGGGGGAGGGGGGATGATCCGATTGGCGCGACACGGGAAGCTAA